GTTTACTTAATAAGTCATGTCTGACTCTTTGTGACCCCATGGACTGTAGCTCAACAGGTTCCTCTGTCCATGGAATTCTCCAGGCAAGAAGACTGGAGAGGGATGCCATTCCCTTCTCCAGGGGATTGTCCCAACCCAGGGATCAAACCCAGGTCTCCTGCACTGCAGGCAGATTCTTTACCACTGAGTCGCCAGGGAAGGTCTCTGTGTCCATTCACATTGTTGCAAATGGCATTATTTCACTCTCTTTTACAGTTGAGTGGTATTCCACTGTACATATATATAACCACATCTTTTTTATCCATTCATCTGTCAATCGACACTTAGTCTTTATTGAATGTGCTTCTGCATCTTGGCTACTATGAACATTGGGGTGCACACATCTTTTGAATTATAGTTTGGGCACGAGTTGCTTCTTTATCCCCCAGTGACACAGAGCTAGCCAATCCTCTAGCTGTGTTGGAGGAAGCCTGGAGATGGTAGGAAGGTCTGTGGAAGGTCTGTCCCTTGTCCTTGCATGCACCACGCCCTCTTCTTCCACACCTTTGCCCTTGTAATTTCCTCTGAGCTGCCAGGCAGGCTGGCGGCTCCCACATACTGTCCCAGGGGCTCCCAGGGTGCAGCTGCTCAGCTGCCAGACGAGAGACCAGCTACCCATCGGCTGCCTTCGCCAGGCTGCAAGCTCCTTGAGAGCGAGTACATTATCATCATTAGCGCCGTCTTTAGAATGGCCGTCTCGTGCTGGTCCCCGTGCTCAGTNAACCCAGGTCTCCCACATTGCAGGCAGATTCTTTACCAGCTGAGCCACAAGGGAAGCCCAAGAATACTGGAGTGGGTAGCCTATCCCTTCTCCAGCAGATCTTCCTGATCCAGGAATTGAACCGGGGTCTCCTACATTGTAGCCAGATTCTTTACCAACTGAGCTATGAGGGAAGCCATAAGTGACAGAGGTAGGATTTAAACCTGGTGGGGCTGGCTCCTGAGACCACATTCTTACCCAGGATGCACCTGGTGAGAAACCCTCAGTGATGCTAAGGCTGACAGTGCGTGAAGAGGTAGGTTGGGGGAGAGCGGGGTGTCTCTCTCAGGGGTCACTGCAAGGGAGGTGATGCGACAGGCGGGGCAGGAGTGAGCTGTGGGGAGGGACAGAGTCCTCCCCTTGGCACACAGCATCCTTCCCTCCCCTGGTCCTGCCTGGGCTTCTGAAAGCTAAGATGTGGGGCTAGCAGCACAGGTCCTTTCTACTCAACACTGGCCCTGCTCTAGACGGGCCTTCTCTTCGAGGTTCTCAAGAACCATGGTGACGGAGGATGTGGCAAAGGGCAAGACCATTCTGCCTGCTTTCCCTACCCTCCTCCTGACTCCTGGCCACCTCTGCCCCACGGCGTCTGGAGAGGGAAAAGGGAAGGCATGGATTTGGGAATCAGGAACCAGGTCTCCATCGGCTCTTCCTGCCCTCCTCCACTCAGCTGGGGCAGGAGAATAGAGTGGTTAGAACTGTGGGCTCTGGAGCCTGACTCACGTTCAATGCCTGCTGTGTCATTTGGGCACGTGGGCTCCCAGGGAGGAGGACCCCAGCAGGGGGGCATCAGAGCTTTCTGGGTAAAGACGGGGGCGAGGGGGAAGGGGGTGAGGCTGATGAGTCCATTGGGAGCTGGTGCTGTATGAGGGGGCAGGAGCAGGTCTTCAAAGTTTGGGTGTCGAGGCCAGGGCATCTGATCTTGTCCTGTGGGCAGTGGGAGGCACTGCAAGGTCCTACACAGGGGAGAGGCTGGTCAGATTAGCATCTAAGTTCTACAAACTCTGCTGTGTAACACAGAACAAGTGTCTCCTCTCCTCTGTCAAGCGAGGCAGCTGGGCTTGTTGGTCCTAAGGTCCCGTCTAGTTTCTGTATCTGGTTAAGAGGCAGAGCCTGGGCATGGAGTCAGCAGGGTGCCAGTCCTCTCAGGAGGGGTCTCAGGGCTATGGGAAGACCCCCATCCCCAAAGCACTGCTAGTGCAAGCACCACAGGGCAGAGTTCTCCATCCGGGGCTAGGATGTCCGGACCTCACCTTGATCTCCTTTGTTTCCAGCCACACTCGTCTCTGTGGTCCTCTATCCATCCTACAGCCCCAGGATTCTTCTTGGGGAGGGACCAGCCTTTGCTGAGTCATTGACTGCATGGGACAGAAGGCCTGGTCATGTAACAAGGCAGAGGAGCTTGAGGGGAGGGGGCAAAGCCATGCTTCAGGAGACCAGTGGATCTGCTGTTGGAGGCGGAGGTGGAGGCGGGGGGTGGGGGGGAGCAGAGATAGAACGAGACGAAAGAGAGGGAGGCAAGCAGGTGTTTTCAAAAAACTTTATGAAAACATTTATTTATTTATTACTCTTTTTTTTGCATTTCAGAAATATTAGCCATTCTGTGGATATACTTAATTGAAAATAAGAGAAAAACCATGCCTATAACACAAAGGTAAAGAGCACTAATCAAGATGTATTCATTAGCATGGAGTAGTTAGATACTTACTGTATAGAAGGGTTTCAAATTCTTGAAAATATCTGAGGGACTTGACAATAGAGCCTGATTCTGTAAAAGAGTGGAAAGAAGTAGCATGTTTAGCTTTTCTATTGTATTAACACCCAAGCCCCTGTTAACCACTGTGAAATCCCAGGGCATTACACACTCTCCTCAACCTCCTTAGTTTCCAAACTTGCCAATAGGTATCACATTATTGTTAGTGTTATTTCAGCAGGAATTGTTTCTCTGACTACTTACTGTGCATTCCACAGGCGTCTTGGAAAGATGCATTTAAAATTTTGTGTTACTTGACATTTTACTATGGAAATCATTAAACAGGATGATCAGCCCTCATGGACCCATCACCCAGCTCTGCCACTTTGCTTCATGTCTCCCCCCCTCCATTTCCCCGCCCCCAGGAATTGCATTGTTTCTCCCATACATAGAAAGATGTTTGAGTGTGCAGAGACATCTCCCTGGACCCTTTAGTGTGGGTGGGTGGAGGCAGGTCTGGAAGTAGCAGCCTAGTTTCAGATATAAGATGATGCTGTCTTGAACCCAGGAGGCAGGGTGAGAATGTGAACCCCTCGAAGACTCATTGAAATATTGGCACTCTTCCTCTAGGCGTGGAACTGAGAGTAGATGCAGGGTTGGGGCGTGGTCAGGGCTATTGCGTCAAGGCTACTGTATGACATTTAGCTCGTGACCTCCAGGATCCCAAACCCCTGGGCTGTCAGAGCTGGAAGACCCTTGACCACCACCCAGCATGTCCTCTCACTGGACAGAGGCAGAGGCTCAGGCCCAGGAGGGGAACTGTCCTGCTTGAGGCCTCGCGTTAAATCCGTCAGGACTCGGACTGAGAAGCCAGGGGCCTGGCTGTTTCCTGCTGCTTGTCCACACAGTGTTTATGCAGCCCCCGTTGCACACAGGGTGCTGTCAGGGGCCCTGTGCTTCCCAGGGCTTCAGTGGACGTTGCAGAAGGCAGGGACACTGTCACCCTGAGAAAGCTGGGGGGTTTCTCGTGCAGCATCCCCAGCTCCCTCTCCACCCGGGAGTGGCCTGGGGACCCCGAGACCTCCTCCTTGACCCCGGGCACCCATGGGAGCACTCGTCATCCAGCTGAGGATGCTCAGAGAGCATTTGCCCCGGTCCCGCAGATGATGGTTGACCAAGTCTTTGCTGCTCATGCAAACACACACCCTGTGCTGCTGTCTCCTTAAATTCTCTCTTCTCTCCTCTCTCCTCTTCTCTTTATCAACCCACATGCATCTCCCCACCCCTTCTCTCCTCACTTCCCTCCTCCTCCTCTCATAAATTCTCTCCCCTGGGACATTTTGCTGAGGGGTTGAATAAACAGGAAGAGAGAGAGGGAATAAATCATAGAGGAGTCTCCGGACAGGCTCTGGGAAGGTTTCTGACTCTGGAGACCATCACGAAAGAGCCTTGCGCCTCTGTTTGGGAACCATAGTCTGGATCTGGAGGGATGAGGGGCTGGGACTGATGAGCAGTGGGGGACAGTGCCATTTGGGGTCAGCATCAGGCTAGTGAGCCACCCCACGACCCTCAACGTGAAGCGAGGAGAGAGGCCCTGCTTGCCGTTTTGCTGTGTGACCCTGGGAAAATCTCATCCCCTCTCTAAGCCTCAGTCTCTGCATCTTTGAAAAGAGGGTCTGGATTAGTTAGCTGGGAGGGGTCCTCTAGCCCTGATTCTGTAAGGTTCTGAGGTTGTATCTTCCATGTAACACGGGAGGCTCTGTTCGGCCGGGCCTCGCTGAGCAGCCCTGAAGGTGAAGATCATGTAGATTTCAGCTTCCCATTGCTCCCAGAGGGACTCAGGCAGAGCCCCCAGGTGCCCTGGGACATCCTTGAGGGGAATGAAGATAAGAGGACCTGGTCCCAGCTGGAGGCCCACAGCTCAGCGCTGGCTCTGGCTATACAACTTCCACCCCTGGCCTCCTTGGATTCTCCAGGTGAGCAGGGACACAGCCCAGAAGATGGGTATAAACATGTGGGCTTTTGGTTGGCGGAGCTGACAACATCACCCCTCATTTCCAGATAGGCTGGGGACTTCGGGAAAACAGCCATAAATATGTGAGTGTTGGAGGGAGAGGAATGGTGAGGAGATGGGAAGGAAGGAGAGAATAAAAGGGTAGTGAGGTCTGGAGGAGGCCTGGATCGTGGAGAGCCTGGTGTGTGCTCCAGCATCACTGTCTCAGCATCAGAGGCCGGGTGTACACAACGGTTTCTTATCTGTCTGCGATTTCATCTGTGCGTCCCTGGGGTGATGATGTGTCTGTGTGAGGCTATTGGGGGGCAGTTTGATGCCTTGAGGTGCATCTCCAAAGCTCTTTGCAACCATCAAAGCTCTGTGAACTCAGACAGAGCGCTGCCCTGTAAGTTAGGAGATCCACATTCCAGCCTGGGACCTGCCACAGTCTTGCTGGGCAGCCTTGGGCAAGCCCCTGCCCATCTGGAGCTTGAGAAGCCTCAGTGGTAAATAAGAATAGCAGCCAACTCTGATGGAGCATTTACTGTGTGGCAGGCCCTGCTCTGAGCACGTTACAGGTCAGAGCTGTCACATCTCTGTGTTACACATGGGGAAACAGACACACCCAGGAAGTGGAAGAATTGAGATTCAGCCCAGGCAGCCTGGCTGGAAGGGTGAGCTCTTAACCGTGCAGTGATCCTGCAAGGAGCGGGGGCTGGGGGAAGGAGGGCTGACCACACAAGGATGCGATTCAGACTCCTGGAGGTCCCAGAGCAAACCTGTGGGCCTCGCTCTCCCCTCGCTGAGACGTGTGGCTCCCCTGGGCCAAGGTGACTGGCTGGAATGCAACTCCTCTCCCTTGGGTATCCGGCAGGCCTGCGTTGATCTCTCAGGGTTCTTGGTGTTCCAGGATGCTAAGACTTGGTGTCTGAAACATACAGTCCAGAGCAATAAATGTCACAGGAGGAAGGATGGGATCAGGCTGCAGAGGAAAGAAACCAAGACATTCCAGATCTCCCCCTCCTGCCCCGCCCCTGATTCACCTCAGAGCCATCAGATATGCTGTCCTTCGATCCCAGAGGCCACCAGCTGCTTACACGACTCTGGTTGGTGGTGGAACCTCTGCTCCCTGCAAAGCTGGAGGGTTGGTGATGCTGTGAAGGAGTGTCTTTGTTGCTTTTCAAGCTAGGGAGCACAATCTCTTTCTGTCCTCCTCTCCTCTGTCCCTGGACAGTCTGATTCAGCCAAAGGAGGGGAAGCAGGAGGAGTCAGGGACAGCTGGGGCTGGGAAGGAGAAGTCCAGCTTGGTGACAGTAGTGGGGAGGCAGAATCGCCTGGCTTTTCCATTTCTAGATACAGGCATGCTCATAAAAACTGAGCAAACCCAGGCCTTGTGCTGGTCCCTGGTGGCCCGAGCTCTGCCTGTTGCCGGAGGCCAGGGGTGCAGACCGAAGGGAAGGGGTCGGCTGCTTTCCTAAGGCCAGTTGTCAGGCTGCTGACCCTTGGGAGGCAGCATGGCGCCGGGAAGGGCTTGCTGGGTGCTGACCGCCTTGGAGGAAGGGGCTGTCAGTCACGGTGCTGGGCAGTGAGCATAGAGAAGGGGCAGAAATGGTCCCAACTTGGGAGAACCTTGTGGTCTAGAGGTGGCAACAGCAAATTGGCAGAGGATTGAGACAAACAGACCAGGGCAGAGGTGGCCCAGGGGAGGTTGGAAGGATTTGGGAAACCCCCCCACCTGGCAACCTTAAAGCAGAAATGAGACTGAGCCACTTTCTGGCTTAAACTCTCACTAGGGTTAAAGTGTTTAGTTGCTCAGTCGTGTCCAACTGTTTGCGACCCCATGGACTGTAGCCCTCCAGTCTCCTCTGTTCATGGAAATTTCCAGGCAAGAATACTGGAGTGGGTAGCCATTTCCTTCTCCAGGGGATCTTCCTGACCCGGGGATCGAACCTGGGTCTCTCTCATTGCAGGCAGAGTCTTTACCGCTTGAGCCACCAGGGAAGCCCCCTAAACTCTCACTGGCGTCCCTTAAAATGGAACCCAAGCTCTTTCTCTCATCCTACAACCTGGGTTTACCCTCTCTCCACCGCCCAAACACACTGAGCTATTTTCCACCTCAGGTCAGTTACCATCAGGAAATCTCCCTGCCCTACACTGGGCCCTCATTCAGGGCTCTTATTAAGTGTCACCTCCTTGGAAGGGCCTTCCTTGATGACTCAACCCAAAGGGGTTTCCCTGACATTGTCTATGTGAGCCCCATCCCTCAATGGATAAAACTCATTGCCATGTATAATTAGTTCAATCATCTATTTAATTATTTTTGCCTGTCTCCCACTATACTGTCACCAAAACAGGGGCCATGTGAGTGCTTGATAAATATTTGCTGATCATCAGCAAGATTGTATGTAGAAGGAATGATGGCTCTTCTGGCTTTGGAAGGTTGCATAGGAACTGGGGAGGTGAAGAAAAGACATGCTTAGCTGTGATAATAGAAAACCTAGCTATCAGTAACTTAAGCCACAGGACATCTATTGCTTACTTAGTGAGATGTCTGAATGTAGATTGTGCTAAGGTTGATTCTGCACCTCAATAGTGTTATCTTTCCACCTATCTTAGTCATTCAGGCTGCTACCAAAATCCCATAGCCTGGGCAGCTTATAACAACAATCCAGAGGCTGCAAGTCCAAGATCAGAGTACCAGCATGCTTGGGTTCTGAGTGGAAGTATGCTGACTTCTTATATCCTCACATGGCAGAAAGAGGGCATGAGGTCTCTTGGGTCCCTTTTGTAAGAGCACTAATTGCATTCATGGGAGCTCCATCCTCATGACCTAATTACCTCTCAAGGTCCTAACCTCCTAATTCCATCATATTGGGGATTAGGATTTCAATATCTGAAGATTTGGGGAATATAAACATTCAGTCCATTGCACTGTCTTCCACTCTAGTACCCTCAGCATGTTGGTACTTGTCCTTAAGCTTGATCTCAAATGGCCACAAGATGACTGCCACAGCTCCAGGCATCACATCCTCATTCAACAGTGTCCAAAACAGGAACAGAGGGAAGGGATCAAAGGTGGCTTTCTCATCCATCAGAGAGGAGAAACTTTACCTTGAAGCATCCTCTTACTCACCACATGCTTCAGGGATTCTTCTTTATATTATTATGACTCTGAATGGGACCACATGCCCACTCAAGACCAGTGAGTGGTAAAGGACAGAAACTGCTATGAGAGCCTTAAACCAAGTGAGATTCATCTAATCACCTCTAAGGTTGTGTGTGATTCAATCTGAGAAGGTTCTGTCAGTGGCGAGGAGGGCAGACAATAGCAGTAGCTGTTTCATTGTCTCTTGGGAACTTCCCAGTGCCCCATAGGAGGCAAGGGCTATCCTGGTCCCTAAAGCTTTAAATTATTTTTGTCATTTGGGAAAGCAAAGTTCAGAAATGTGTTCAACATCACATAGAAAACTAGTAGGAAATAGAACTTAGCCTCTATCTCTTATCCCAGAACCTAGGGTACCACCCAGGGTGCCTGTGTGACCCCTCTGAACACTGTTGCTTCTTTAATTGGCATCCTTCCCACTAAACTGTGAGCTTCCCAAGTGCAAGGACCTGGAGTCTGCCCACATTCTGCCCCTGGCCCATAGAACACAGTTTACTGAATGGATGAATAAGTGGCTCTTCTGTGTATAGAACAGAGGACATCCTTGACCACGGTGAAACAGTCCTGGCAGCAAGCACTTAGTGTGAAGGCTTTAGGCCCTTAGCTGGTACAGGATGATGGCATGATGATGAATTTTACTCATGGAAATCTGCCCTGTGGAAGAGCATAAGCAAAAATGGAAGGTACAGCCAGTCCTCACGGTGGGTAGAAGTTTCCAAGAAGAAGGCTTTCAATCAGACCTATTTGAAAATAAAATTGGCTGCCTCGTGAGGCAGTCAACTCTGTTTTTGGAGGTGATAAGCATCTCTTGCGCTGCATGCAATGCATAATAAGGTAGAACCAAAGACCACTTGAGGATTATGCTTCTGAGATACGTTGACTTAAGAGTATGTCACAGCAGCATCCACAGAATTCTCATAACAGGGCCCTACTTTATTTTAACAGCGGAGGAAACTGAAAAACAGAAAAATGAGGTAATCTGCCAAGTCACACAGTTTGTGTGTGGTAGAGACAGGATGAGAATGCAGGCCTTTAAGTCTTCTGGCCCCTTCTCCTGCCTCCTTAGAGATCTGAGGCTCTGTGATCCTAAGGGTTCTGACTCTAGCATTGTAAGGGTGTATTTCTCTAAGAGTCTATGTCTCAGAGCCAGCCCGGTGATTCTAAGCACCTGTGATGCTGCCCTCTTTTTCGGGGATCCAGTGTGCTCCTGCTCTGTTATTAAACTTGATTTAGCTAAAAATGATTGGCTTGTTTTAATTTCTGTTACTTTGTATGGAAGAAAAAATCCACCCCAAACCCCAGCAGATGCTGGCCCTGTCTCCCGGCCTGCAGGTCTCACCATCCATCCTGGAACTGCTGTCAGTGATCTGCCAGGTATCATAAGGATGCAGGGGAGCTGTCAGAATCCTTGGATTGGACCAGACTCCAGCCAGTGCTGCCCCAGGCCGGGGCTGGGGGGCTCCCTCATGGCCGCCCAGCCAGCTGGGGACTGCTGTGAGGTTGCTGCTCTGTGGATGAGAAAGGGGGTGGGAGGGAAGAGGCCCAGAGTAAGTGGGGGGAGTGTGGGGGGAACCAGAGATGGTAGGGGTGCTAGCAGGCAGCAGGTTCTTCCAAGGGGTCCATTCCTGCAGTCCCCCACGGGAAGCCCAGAGACATGAAGCCACGGCAGGCTCTGGGTGATGAGCCTGCCTATTCACACACTTCCCCGCAGCAGACGGAGGAGAACAGGCTGATGGGGAGCCTTCCACATACCAGCCCCAGGTGAGGCCCTCTGTATCTATCGATTCCTTTAATCAGCCACCCTGTTTCTAGGGCAGCAGTGCCCCGCACATGGGCTCCATCCCTCCCACCCGCCTTCCAAGAGCATCAGTCTCTGGCTTCTTGCAGCTCCCATCTCTTCCCCTCTGTGGGATGGCTCCCAGGAGGCTCCCCTCCCCTCCCCTCCCCTCCTCCACATACACTTCCTCAGGGGGTTCGTGCATCCCCTGCTTGTAGCCCCATGTCTAAATGGATGCTCCCACATCCCCAGCCCCGGCCCGGCCCTCCTGGGTCCAGGCCTGTGCCTGAAGCCTCATCCTGATGACTTCCCTGGGTGGTCATGAATGCACCTCCTACTCAACCGTGAACCTGAACTCAGGCGAGGTTTGCCTATCACCTCTGGACCCACGTGTGCACCAGCCAGTCCATACCCTTGGCAGTCACAGGCTTCTCATCCTCCCCAGACTCTGTCAAGTGTTGAGATGAGAGTTTCATTAAAAGCATTACTAGGGACTTCCCTTGTGGTCCAGTGGCCAAGACTCTGTGCTCCCAATGCAGCGGGCCCTGGTTTGATCCCTCGTCAAGGAGCTAGATCCTGCATGCTGCAACTAAAGATCCTGTATGATGCAAAGAAGATCTGCTGCAGCCAAATAAATACATATTCTTAGAAAACCATTACTGAACTCAGAGAAACATGGTGATATAATGATACTATTCTTTTTCTCCATTAATGAATACTTGAAGTGAAACTATCATCCATATAGTCCTTTAGAGAGAGTCCATAGACTCCTTTAAAATTGCAAAACATTTTAAAACTGGAAAATTTTGGAAACACTTCACTACACCAATCACAGTGTCATTCATTTACTATTTGTTGGCTCATGTGCCAGCATTTATCATTCACGTGCCAGCACTGGGGCTAGACATAAGTCAGTGAAAAAATGAGTGCAGTCCCTGCCCTCACAGAGCTTATATTCCAACGTGGAGACAGACAGGAACACTCCAGG